CATTCCATTTTTGTGTACGGATTAATTTTGTAGTCATGTTTTCGTTATACCTATTAAATTCGTCTATTTCTCTTATAACCCTCAGTTCTTTATCAAAATTTGTTTTATTTATCGGAATATTAACTAATCTGTAAGCCTAGAATTCCTAGGGTTACATTATTTAATGCAACTATGTTTTTAAAAATATCTCAAAATTATTTAAAAGTATAATTTCTATTATTTTATTTTCTAAGGCATGTGGCTATATAGTTGGCTAATAATAATTTTTTCTTATAATAAACTTGATATTATTAAAATGAACTAAATTTTAATTTGTACATTTTTATGAAAAAATTGGGGTTACCATTTTTATAAAATCACAGTGTATAAATTTTATATGTTTTTATTTTTTCTAGATTGCTTATTAAGAGTTTGGGTATACTGCATTATATATAAATACACCAAAGTGAACACAAAAATTTATATAATCAAAATTAACAATAGTAATATATATTGATAACAATGAAATATTTAATATTAAATAAACAAAGATTTTTTTAATTCCCTTGATTTACATAAATAATTATAAAAATAATTTACTATTAGATACAATTACATTTTTTTTAATATTCAACTTTCATAATGTGTTGGGTTGGTTTTTCCCTATAATTAAATTACATTTCGATAATAATTTTTCTATTAAAAATTTATATNTGTGTTGGGTTGGTTTTTCCCTATAATTAAATTACATTTCGATAATAATTTTTCTATTAAAAATTTATATACTCAAAAATAATATATAGAAAACTGGTTTTTAACTGACCAATTATTTTTAAATTAGTTCATTATTAAATCATTCAAATTTTTTTTTTATCAATTATTCGCTGGAATTATGCTGACCATCTTCTATATCTGGAATTTTTTTTATATCTTATAATATTATTTAAAAAAAAGCCTTTTCTAATAGGTTTATTTTTTAATTGATAGTATTTAACATAATTAAAAAAAAAAAAAGATTAGAGTTTGTTAGATTTCACTGAAATATTAAATGCCTGTTAAATTACTTAGTTAATTGAAAATAAAGACATTACTTTTTAAATTTTTAATAGAAGAACAATAGTTAATTAAATTTCTATTTTTAATGTTGTAGTTTATTCTAAAAGCTACAATTTGATATAGATTATAAAACCATCCAGAATATCTTTAAAAATTGAGTTGTACTTTTTTTAATCTATCGATTTGGTACATTTAAATTTAAAATAATAATATAAATAAATACATTTGAATTATGGAAACTGGTTTAGATCGTCTAATTTTCTTAAAATCCATTCTCAATCAAATCATACAAAAATAATTATTATTTATATTTACTTGTCTCGGTATGGTGAGAATCATTTATATTCAGATCCTCCTAAAAACCAAAATAAATTATGAAATGATTATTATCATTATAAATATAGAATATAATAAATATCCAATTGGACAGTGGTGTGTCATGCAGACGCAGCTATGTTAGGTTTGCATACGCTCAAACGACCATTACTGCTTAGTAAAACAATGACGTTGTATCATCACGTGATTACCAGGAAATATAAAATATTTTTTAAGNATCAGTCTGTGGCAATTGATATTTATGATTTTATTTTTATATCATATAATAGTTGAAATATACATAACTATGAAAGTTGTTTCTGCTTTATCTTAAGATAATCTGTTCATAAAAAATTAATAAAATAAAATAAATTACTTCTTGGACTTGCCGTGCAAATCTACTTTTAGCTTTTTCAATGTATTCCTAAAGAAAATATTTTTTTTTATACTATATTTGTAATAAATATTCAAAATAATAATGTTAACAAATATGTAATTATTCTAACCGATATCATTCTATTCAAATCTATATAGCTTCAATAAAGATAACATGTATGTTTATACATATATATTAGTACATAGCTAAATGGTTTTTAAGTCTCATTACCTAAGTACCACAAAAATGTATAAAAAATTCAAATATAAGAAATGAATCCAATGTATGAAATGTAAATATTTTTAAAATTATAGGCGATATTAAGAATTTTAATTGTCCTTAAAATTCATTACAAGATATGAGAGTACGTAATAGTATAAGATAGTAAGATATGATATAGAGATAGTATAGCTATGAGATATCAGTAATAAAAATTGTATGATAGAAGAATCATTTATGATGTTGAACTAGTACAATTATTAAAATAAAATTAATTGAATTTTTTCATTATTAACACAGTACTGTGTTATTATTAACCGCACATTACGTTATTAATTTATATAAAATTGTATCGGAATCTGAATCAAAAGTGCTCAGTGGTCTATTGGAAAGGTTTGTTTTATAATTATCATATAGCAACATTGAGCGTTGCTGCCGATACAAGTTAAATTATTTTGATTTACACAATAATATTCTGAAACATATGATGATAAACAAACAGATATGTTTTTAAAATAAAATTTTCAATGAAATAATTTTTGATAAAGGTTTTAAAAAAAGTATCCATAATTTTTATTCTTTTTTTTTATTTAATTTTCTCAATTAGTTTTGAATTGTACTTCTCACACCAAAATATGCTATTAGATATAAATAATATCAAACAGTAATATTAATAACAGTTTTAATTTCTTATTTGGCTTTAAAATTAATATTAAGACAATAGTATTTACATCAAAGTCTCGATCGCTGCGCAATATAAATTTCATTTTGTTTGTAATTGGCTGTAAAATAAATGTCTTTAGTTATAGTGTTATTTATTAAAATGTTCATATATGTACATATAAATGTAATAAAGCGACTCTTAACTATATAGATTTTTTTTTGAAAAACTTCATTTATTACATCCCCTATAATTGTTTATAAAAAACTGATTTGAACAAAATTTGGTTGAAATTAAGTGACGTTAACATGTGCTACGAAAGGATTGTAAATTCGATTATAGGGATGGTTTTACAATTTTCGTCAATATCTTTCAAACTGTAAACAAATTTTCGCTATAATATTTGTCATATATTTTGCTTTCAGAAGTACAGATGAAGAAATTGAAGAGATATAAGAACAGATTAAAGAACTCTTTTAAATAAAAACATATAAGAAATAGAACGTGATTTACTTAGCAACAATTCAGATAAAGCCTACAATAAAATAAAAAACTGCTATATAAACTCAAGACATCCAGCAACATAGTTAAAGATAGACATAGCCAAATTCTGTTTGAAAATGAAAAGGTAGTTGAGAAGTGGAAAATGTATATGGAAGAATTATTAAAGGAAAAAGAAGAGATCTTATTTTAGATATTAAGAGAAAAAGGAATTTATTGGAAGGATAGTTTCATCTTATATAAGGATCAAACAACAGAAATAAATTTAAATGGATCGGTAAAAGAAGCAAGAATAAGAAGAGGAGTGAGACCAAGATGCCTTTTGTCTCTTTATTTATTCAATATTTTTATTAAAATGATTATAGATATAATGAAAATCAAGACTAAAACCCAACTAAAGGAGTGAAAATAAATGGCCAACATACAGGGTGGCCCACCACTCACTGACAACTTAAATAACTTTTGATCCAGTAAATATTTTTAGTTGAATTTTTTTTTAAATAATAGTTAGACGTTAGGTCTATAGCTATATCTCAATAATTAATTTTTTTACATTTTATTAAAAATATTAATTATTTTAAAATTTTAAATAAATAGTAAAAAAAAAATCTAAGATAGCTATTTTGTAGAGTAGAATTTAAGAAAAATTTTTGTAAAAAAATATCTTATTAATATTCAGTAGTAAATATTCTGTAGCGTTTTGAAGTTTGTGAAAATTTGAATTTTCATGTACTATTTTACGGTTATAAACATTGAAATACGTATTGAGAAAAGGACAGAAGAAAACGCTATCTTTTCATGATTACTGTGTATACATATGATGATAGTGTGTATACATTACAAACTTGGCATAAATACCATGATAAGAAATTAGATAAGGCAATTATTACTTATCACTCTCATTCAAAAGTATATTGAAAAGATAGCGTTTTCTTCTGTCCTTTTCTCAATACGTATTTCAATGTTTAATACTGTAAAATAGTACATGAAAATTCAAAATTTCACAAACTTCAAAACGCTACAGAATATTTACTACTGAATATTAATAAGATATTTTTTTACAAAAATTTTTCTTAAATTCTACTTATCTAAATATCTTAGATTTTTTTTTTACATTTTATTTAAAATTTAAAAATAATTAATATTTTTAATAAAATGTAAAAAAATTAATTATTGAGATATAGCTATAGACCTAACGTATATTATTAAAAAAAAAAAATCAACTAAAAATATTAACTGGATCAAAAGTTATTTAAGTTGTCAGTGAGTGGTGGGCCACTCTGTTATACACTGTATTCATTTTGCGGATGGGCATTGTTATCTTAGCAGAGTCTGAATATGACATGAATAATATGTTAAAAATTCTATCAAGTGCATTGATAAATTTAAAATGAAAAAAAATTCCATGAAAACCAAAACAATGATTATAAGTAAAATGCACTCAGATCTAAATCTTAATATACAAAAAAACATTACACGATTACATCAGATCCAAGAATTCTGCTAACTTGGGAGTATAATAGGTTCCAATATCAAATCAACTCCAGTCATCAGAAGAAGAACAGCATTAGCAAAGCAAGCATTCCAAAACAATAATCAGTTTCTTACCAATTAACATCTGAGTATTAGCATACGTAAAAGATTCTGTAAAACATTTGTCTGGAGGTGCTGTCGTATGGCAATGAAACATTGACAATTCACAAAAAATACAGAAGCAAACTAAAAGCATTATAGTTAAAGTTATGGAAAAACATGACAAAGATAAAATGGATAGACAAGAAAATAAATGATCAAGTGATAAAAGAAGCACAAGAAGAAAAGCAGCCGATAAAGGGGGTTGAATCAACAAAAGTAAAGTTATTCTGACACATCATTCTACATAATGACTTTTTAATAAATATCTCCGAAGAAAAAATAACTGGAAAGAAACCAAAAGGACGTCCAAAGAACCAATATTTTGAAGATAACCTGGAACTTATGAACTGTGCGTCTTTTGTTTCACTAAAGAATTTGGCGTCAAATAGAAAAGAGTGACTTCAACGACACGGTATTACCTTTAATAGATAGTGATGATATTTCATAAACTCTACGGTAAAAATATATAAATGGATTTATAAAAAAAAAAAAACGAGAAAGTTCATTTTCCTAACTAGATCGTATGATCTTTGTTCATTATTATGGCATTCATAAAATTAAAACTGTAATTTATCATAAAACATTTTTTTTGAAAAGATAGCCACTCCCTATTTATTTATTATTGGATTATCATTAAAAACTGCAAAATATTTATAACTAACACTTTTGTTATCAATTTTATACTAAATTTTATATGCATATAATGTATTTATTCATGTGTTATACTTATATATGTTGTAATAATAGTATTAACGTGACAAAAATTATGTTATCATCTTATAACTCATATTATTGTGTATTTAAAGAAAATATTGTAAACTTTGATCACAATTAAATAATATGTCAATAAAAATATCTGGAAACACTAATGATGTTGATCCCTAATTGAATTAAAAGGAAAGTATAAAAGACAGGTTAACGTGGCATAAAAAACTCACTTGCACTTAGAATCTCTGAATGTCAGTTAGTTCATCAACATCATCAGTGTGAAAAGACACATTTAAAAAAAGAATACTTATTCAAAGATAAGCAAAAATACTGAACATAAAACTTTAATATAAATAATAAAGTAAATAAGTACTCTTGGTAAAACTGAATCTATATAGAGCAGATTTCGTTTGAGCTGTTATTTTACGGTTGGCGATTGCTCTGGATTTATAGTAAATTAAAATTTACATATACATATGAATAAAAATATTCCTTTTTCTTTGGAATTATATTAGTAAAAAACCCAGCACAGGGGGGTCGCGGCACAGTGGTGACGTGGTATAGATGGATCAAGTATAATGATATCTGACAGTGATTAAAATCACTATAAAAAAAAAACGCTTCGATGCAAATCTTTAGATAGTGTTTAATTTTAAAAAATTGGTGGATTATTCCAAAAGCTTCATAAACTGCTAGTTCCTTATTAATATCCTGATTAAGATAAAGTATGTCGAATGAAAAAGGGATTATTAAAAAATATTATTTCTCATAAAAAAATAATGTTGATCAATACACTTTTCAATATGTCATAGCATTATAAAGTTAAAAATGTAAAATACAAAATCGAAAATTTTCACACAAAAATAGCATTCGGTAGCCATTTTCACCGTGAAGATAAAATAAAGTCCGAAAATTTTTTTTTTGCATAATAAAGAACAGTACATTAGCTTTAATTTAAGATATATATAAAAGTGTCAGACCTTCCGGAACATTTTCAAAATTTAAGTTGAAAAAGTAAATTTATTGTGAAAAAGTTGTCATTTTAAATCCCCCCTTGTGGGCAGGTTAAGTGTTAAATTTATGAAAAAAATATACCAAATGAAAGGTAATAATATTATGCATCTATATAAAAAATAATTATATTGATATGTTTATTTTTGAAAAAGTTATAGCAGTTTTAAGTAAAAAAAATTGAAAAATTTTCAAAAATTAGCGATTTTTAAATTTGTAATTTTTTTGGAGGTTTCGCCCATTTACGGGGAACAAAGGAAATTTTTTCAATTTTTGAGGGTAATGTCTTCGACTAGATGCAATTTGTGATCTTTTGACGTATCATTGAAAGAAATCGGTTCTGTGAGAGCTGAGAAAAAGTGACAACAGACACAAAAAAAACATATCATAGTAAAATTAATACCTTCTCAGCTTCGCATCGAAGCTAAAAAAAAGAGAAAACCTTTGGAACACTGACCCCGATATAAAAAGCAACTCAAAATAATAATAATAAGGAATTAAGCTTAAAACCATAAGAGTCTCAATTATTTCAATATCTGCTCAACCAACGCATCTATACATAATATTATATATTATTCTTGTTCTTTTAACTTAATTATTTTATATTATTCCTTTGTCTCTTTTTTTTTTTGAGTTACAATATATATCATAACATAANGTTACAATATATATCATAAAATTAGTATTCAGTATAGAAAAATTCCTTTTCTTCTGGAAATGGATATTGATGTTGCTTTTAGAATATCCAAGAATTGCTTTTTAATTTTAAAGACTATTAACAGTTTTGCGTCAAAGCAATTTTGATGATAGTGAGTTTAATCACTGTCAGATAATCTATACTTGTCTCAACTATGCCGCATCTTCACTGTGACACGATCCTACTAAACTAGTTTTTTTATCATATATTCACTATAATGATGCGTATGGGCGTGGTGTGGCGCGTTGGTCTCACACTAGTTGTTGACAAAAATCTAGCGTGAAGTCTATCGCTGTAGGTGAACGGATGTGTGATCTTGTGTGCTCTTTTACGGTGACGAAATAAGCACTATGTTCCTAGTGTAGAAGGCTACGGTAAACCACTGCACTTAAATTTCCCCAAGATATACCAATTCAGTTGGTATTAACCAACCTAATGGTTGTAACAAAAAAAAGTTCACCTTAATAATAATAATGCGATCAGCTTTTATATTTGAATCCTGAAAAGCAAAATAATGTTGTTAATCATTTTTAAGAGTCATTCATAATATTAACAAAAAGTTATATGATTTTAAATATATAAAAAGCACAATCGAGATGTTTGTTAACATGCATTAATGAGGCAGCTTTAAAATCTTATGAAATTATATTTAAGAAAAGAAATTAATTGAATGAATACTTAAGCAGACACAACACTAAGAAAATTTATCGTTGTTTACTCAATAACTGTCTGAATTGACATACCAATTTATGAAAAAAAATTGCCAATCAAAAAATATTATTCTCTTAATAAATTTTTTTTATAAAAATGTACAAATCAAAATTTAATTTATCTAAAAAAACCATAATAAATATTAAAGTTATTGTTTAAAATATTATTTCCAACGATAGATCTTGAGGAAATCTTTCGAAAGTTATCTCTTTAACCTATTATTATTATTATTTATTATTAAATGGTTTATGGTCTAAATTTAATGATTAAGTTTGCTTATCATATACATTCGTTTATTATATTGCTAAATGCTTTAAAAAATAAAATAATAGAAGTTGCACTTTTAAATAATTTTGAGATATTTTTAAAAACTTAGTTGCATTTAATGATGTAGCAATAGGAATTTTTCTCAAAGAACAAGGAATTTCCCGGAAAATAAATCATATAAAATTATTTAATATTTTTCATTTATTCACATCAATCTTTTCAGGGTGACGAGCTTCTATAACTGGATCCTGAAAAGTAAAAAAATTATGAAAAGAATTTTTATAGGTCAATAATATATTTAAAAAAAGTCATATGAACAAGAGCCGTAGAATAATATAATAACAATAATTTATTCATAAAAATGAACAGATTTTTATAAAAACATGATTATTTAACGAAATAATGGACGGTAGTATTCTTAATAAATCACGCTGTACAAATTTATACAGGTTTTTTTTTTGCAGTATGATGTTATCATACTAATTTTATACATACTTCATTAACGGGTTTAAGAGTTATATTTTCATTTGTTTTTCCCTGAAAATATGAGTAGATAATTACATCTTTATATAATAAGTTTTTAAAAATATAATCAATGCACGTGTGCTCATTTTACACATACTAAATAATATCTTAAGTATAGGAACCTAATGATCAGTAGAATATACGATAATTTCTGGCAATATAAAAGATCACAAATCGTATCTAGTTGATGACATTATCCTTAAAAATTTAAAAAACTTCCCTCATTCCCCGTAAAAGGGGAAATTTCCAAAAAAATTACAATTTTTAAAGTCGGTAAATTTTGTCAGTTTTTTCACTTTTTTTCTTAAAACTACCATAAATTTTTAAAAAATCAACAAATCAATATAATTTTTTTGTTTAGATATTTAACGTGCTCACTGGGGGGTATTGAAAATAGCAACTTTTTTACAAAAACTAACTATTTTAACTTGACTTTTGAAAATGATCCGAAAATATTCACAGTTTTATTTAATCTAAAATTAAAGCTTATATTATATACTTTACTATGAAAAAAAAAAATTCGAGATATACATTTTCTTCTTGGTAAAAATGGTTACCGTATTCAAAAATATGTTATTTTTGTATTAAAATTCTGGGTTTTGTATTTTATTTTATTTTAAAATATCTTTACAATGGTAATAAACTGACTTTTATGAATTTTATATAATTTAATTGACATAGAATAAAGTTCATAAGACATAAGAAATTAAACTTATTAAAATTCTTTCCTTTTTTAGTCGAAAAAGTAAGTTTTAAATTTGAATTAGCTTAAATTGCTAATTTTATCATGCGACGAAAGTAACGAACAGTTGCCGAAACGGTTACACTTGTGTCTTTCACGCTTAGGGTACGAGGTTTAGCGTCCGTGGCACCGCAGCCGGGGACATGGTCTGAGGTGGTCAGGCGGAAGACGCCTAAAGCGATGGCGGACCTTCCTCCAAACCCCGGGCTTCCCGCAACCGCGCGAAGACACGTATTCAGGGCGACGGCCCCGAAAACCGAGGCCATTATTATCGGTCCTCTTAAGGAGGGCCAACAATATTCGGCCATTATTAAGAGGGCCATGGCAAAGGTTGACCTCCAGGCGCTGGGCGTCGTGTTCTCCGGTACCCGCAGAAGCAAGACGGGAGCGGTGCTCTTGGAGGTTCGGGGTACCGGGGCCCAGGCCGACCTGTTGGCCGCGTACACCGCCCAGCGATGTGCGTGGCATTCATACTGCTCGACGTGGAGGAGTGGATAGTGGAAGAGGACGTCGTGGGGGCGTTGACCACTATCCTCTCGAACGGGGGGGTCGATATGCCTACTGGTTCGGTGTCAGTCCGACTGCACGGGAGCGGCAAGGGCCGCTTCGCGTGATGCGAAGTGTCCGATAGGGCTTCGCAACCGTTGGTCGGGCTGACGCGACTCCGGATGGGATGGGGCACGTGCCGGATCCAGGTCCCAAAGGACAAGGAACCACGCTGCTACAGGTGCCTCGACAGGGGGCACATGCAGACGGCGTGAAGCGGTGCCAACCGGACCGGTGGGTGTTTTTCGTGCAGGGCAGAGTGCCACGGGGCAAGGGATTGCCCCAAGAAGGTGGGAGGGCCGGAGAAACCTACAAAAGGATATCTCCTGTCCTCTTCACTATTTGCGTGTGTTTTATTTGTTTTGTGAATTTTTATGGCAACCCATAGCAAAGTCCTATCCCCACCTCCACGTGGTGCGGCCTGCGCAACGGATCCCACTCTGGGATCTGGCTAACGGGGGAGGCCACGTCGTGTTGTGACTCAGTTCTTGATTAATTTCGGGCTGAGTCACAACACGGCGGTGTGATTTATA